GGGGGTTCCTTACTATAAGTATAAGTACAGTATAATGGGCCCCAAAACCCTATTCTAAGTATTAAGGCGCCTTCATTGCCTGCCGGCCGGCAGGGGAGTGGCCCTGAACCTCTTCTTCGGCGACTACATCGAAGTCGGGCACTTGTGGTTCATGAACCATATTAAGGCTCAGGATTTAGGGTTCAGGGTTTGGGGTCTACGATTTAGGGATTACGGGTTTAGGGTCTAGGGGTTTAGGGTTTAGGGTTTATACGATTTAGGGATTAGGGGTATAGGGTTTAGGATTTGGGGATTAGGGGTTGAGGGCCAGTTCAGGGTTTAGTTCAGGGTTTACGATTTAGGGATTAGGGGTTTGGGGCCGTTGCAGGTTCAGGGCGAGGGTCTATGGCTGTATGATCGAACACTAGAACAGGCATAGTACGATGGATAACTACAGAGTCTTACCTAGCAGTTTTAATCGAAGGAAACATGTACCATGGCTCATGGTAGTGCGCTATCTCATCTCGATAGCTAAACCCTAAACTGTTTGAGCCCGAACAAAGAGGTTGATTGATCTGTAATCCTCGAACCCTAAATCCAACATCGCTAGACCCCAAAAGTCTAACCTTAGTGCTCGCAGAGTTTTTCAGCTTCAAATACCAAACCCAGAAGCCCTTCAGAAACTTTGGCCTCGCAACATCTAGCGCCAAATCCGAAACGCCTAGACCCCTCAACCCTAAACCCTAAACTCCTAAAACCCTACCCCTAGACCCCTCAACCCTAAACCCTAACTCCTAAAACCCTATAGACCTTTAAGGAAAGTAGGAGTTCCCAGGCCTGCTTCCCCTTCCTTGCGCGGGACTTCGCCCTGGATGCGTCAGTTTACATCGCCTCCGGGCTGCCCGGGCCCTGCCTTCGACATAGGAGTGGGGTTATAATCAGGGTAACTATAGTTATAGCTATAATAGGGTTTAGGGTTTAGGGTTATAAGCTATATTAAGGAACTTATAACCCTACGTATAACTACCCATGAACCTCCAAGGGTTTCCGGGAAGGGTTTGGGGGTTCAACGTTTAGGGCTAAGGGTTCAGGGGTTTAGGGTTCGGGGAAATGAATATGCAATATTCGGGGCAATTGGCTTTGCCTTCTTTAGGGCCGGGAAGTTTGATCCAGGTTCTAAGGACTTTAAGGTTCAGGGGTTTAGGGCTTTAGCCGTTTGGGGTTTACCGGCTTCAAGTTTCGGGTTTAGGGTTAGGAGTTTAGAGTTGCATGGTTAGAGGCTTGGAAAGTTCCGGGCTGAGGTTTTCGGATATAGGTTCGCAGGGTTAAAGCGCTTGAAGGTTGAGGCCTGGCAGGGTGGGGTTGAGGCGGTTGAGGCTCTTGAGGATGAAAGAGAGATCTAAACTTAAATCAATCAGTACTAGTGTCCCCTGATAGCCCTTGTATGAGCATGCTATGTTAAGCCCGTAAGCCATAGTCTAATCAGGAGTGCTTCAATATTAAGCCTTGCAACACCGTGTAAACCCGTATAACTTTGACCGTGTATTGAGGCCCTGCAATACTGTCTTCAGCCATTAGTTCAGCTTCAAGGTGTGGCATGGATGCCCAAAGAACTGCGGGGTTTAGCATTGATTGTCATGGCCATTCCTGCGCTACAGATATCGTGCGAGCGCCAGGTTTAAAACTTCCACAAACCGTTTTTATTGATCATTACGTAATCCAATATTTCAATATCTCATAAAACCTGTCAGTCAAAGATTTGAAGAAAAAGATACCAACTTTTCAAGATATTGAACCTTGAATCTAATTCCTCAGCCCAACATCCTAACCCCTAGCCCGAGTCCCCAACCCTAGTGGCCTAATTTGAACCCTGTGATCTTAAACCGCAAGACCCCAAGCCGCAAACCCCCAAACCCCTTGCAGTAAACCAGTAAACCTCAAAGGAACCCTCAAAGGAGTCTCAAAAGAAGCCTTAAACCTTAAACTAACCCTTAAAGGAGTCTTGAAGAGCCCTAAACCTTAAACCTTAAACTTTAAACTCAAAGTCCAAAACCCTAAAACCTTAAACTTCGATCTCTAAACCCTAAACTCTGAGTCCCAAACCCTAAGCCATGTCGAAGCGCCGAAGCTACGTGAGGGCCGGCGCCATCATCGCTACCGGCGGCGGGGCACAGAGCACCGTCTGAGCCCTACTAGGGCTTCATGGTGCGGAGTTTAGGGTTTGGGGTTTAGGGTTTAGGGCTTTGAACCTGTACTTATGGTACTTTGAAGGTGTTTTGTATGAAGAGTTCTAAGGTTTTGTACGTTCTTGGAGAGTTACATAAGGGTTTAGCGGCAGATCGAATGAAGCTCCCTGGTTGTGCCCCTAGTCTTTTATTCTATATTACTACATACTATGGGATAGGATGCACAATCATCCGAATCCTATTCTGTCATTGTGAAGGCTCCCTATACAAACTCGTAAAGCCCCCGTAAAACTTTTTCCATTCCCCTTCAGATTTTGAAGGCCTAGATCAGGGCTTGGGGGTTTGCAGGGCAAGATGTTGCAAACATCGATAGGCCCATACACCATGATCTTGAGATCCTGAGTCCACCTCGCGACCCTAAACCCTACACATCCAAACCGGAACTGTGACATCAACATCCATGCACATCGCGCCAAACGCCTCATGGGCCTCCAAACCTAGCCCTATAGGCTGGAATCCTTGAGTCAAGTTAGAAAGCTACGCTGCATCGGTCCAGCTCTTTGTCACTGCATCCTGAACCCTTCCACCCGACAGTTCTGAACGCCAAAGCCCGTTCAGGAGTTTGTTGGGGTTATGGCGGCAGGTTCTGGGCTGGGATTTCGGTACTCATCGCGGGGCCACACTCATGCTTCCTTGTCCAGAACCCTCTTGTTTTATATACCTCAAATACGGGCATGTGGCCCCTAGGGTCTAGGTGTCTTCTTGAAATTCACTCGTGGGCTTGAAAGCGGCCCATTGGGCTCCTGCGAAGGCTTACCTCGCCGCCCCTCTTGCCGCGGGCTCTGCGAAGGGCCTTGTGGGGCTGTCCTGTGGGTAGTTTAGAGGGTTTAGGGTGTAGGGTTTAGGGCTTAGGGGGGCATAGGGTGAAGGGTTTAGGATATAGTTTCCCTATAGCGTTCAGGGTTTAGGCTTTCCCTGAAGCCCCAGACCCAAAACCTTAAAAAGCCCCGAAACTAGACACATGCGAGTTGGGAGCCTACGCAAGCCCCTGAATGTAGCATTCCCTAATCCTCCAGGTACTTACTATATTATGGTACCCCATGTAGTAGGTACCTGGGGGGTTAGGGAGTTTTGGGACATCCTGTTTCGCGGTTACGTCGGATCCTACAACAAGAAAGCAAGGCAACCCAAGCAGGTACGACTATAGGGGTTTTGGTTCAGGGTTTTGGGTTTCAGGGGGTTGGGGGTTGAGGGTTTAGGGGGTTTAGGGGTTTAAGGGTTTTGGGTTTCAGGGTCAGTTTAGGGGTTTAGGAGTTTTTTTTTGGGGGGGGGTTAGGGGGTTTAGGGTTAAGCCTTAACCAAGGTTCTCGAGTACAGAGGTCTGCAGAGTTCCTAGCAGTCTTCCATGGGGTTCCTCCCTGAACTCTAAACCCTAAACCCCTAAACCTTAAACCCTAAACCCCTAAACCCCTAAACCCTTAAACCCCTAAACCCCTAAACCCTAAACCCTAGGTAGGCTATTGTGTAAGGATCACGCCCGCCTACTGGGCTTGCGCGGTCAGCGCGTGAGGGAGGCTTCGCACCGAAAGCCTCCCAAAAGCTTCGACGGAGCAGTTGGCCGAAGTTGCCCGGGGGCCGTCAGTGGGTTCCTTAGGGATTAAGGAGATGATGAGAGGAACATTGAACATTAGGGCCTTAGGGTTTAGGGTTGCTTAAGGAGAGGATTAGAGGCGAGGAAGAACGTCAGGAACATGGGCCTGCACATGTGTGAGACAGGTGTGGCTCCAATTTCGGGACCCTGACCCCCCCGAAGACATGGGTGTTTACCAAGCATGTCGAGAACGGCAGCAATCCGGGGTTGTTATCTGGGAGCGTGAGCATTGCAGTGCCATACCGGGTGTTTTGAGGAACAGGAGTCAGAGTGGAGCCCGGCCAACAGCTTTGTAGACGGGGTGTGCTCCCTGTATCGGCATGGTTGAGAACTCTGCGGTGCGGACCCTCTGAAGCATAATATAGGAGCCGAAAGAATTACCAATACTATTTTGGGGGCTCCTTATTATATCATAGTATAAAGGCCCCCAAAACCCTATTAAGGCTGCTATATTACACCTCTCCCGATCTTACACAGTCCAAAGGCCCCAAGCTCTCAAGCCCTCATTTCAGCAGAGCCGAAGATCGAGGCGATTGCAGTCGGCACAGAGCGGCCTGCCTTGGCCAAGGCGCCGCTCTTTGAAGCGGGTTTAGGGTTTAGGGTTTAGGGTTTAGGGTTTAGGGTTTAGGGTTTAGGGTTTAGGGTTTAGGGTTTAGGGTTTAGGGGCTTCCTGCATTGAGGGGTCCAGCAATCAAGGGCTTCAGGGTCTACCTAGGCTCGACTCAACAATGTAGTGCTCTGAGCCACTTTGATTTCTGACTATAGGATCCTAACCGTTTAAACCCACAAGTTATCCACGAACTGGCCGGCAGAAGTCATGTCATGTCATTATGCGTCATTCTCCACTGACAGCAGCTGCTCATTTTATGGCCCGATCCAATAATACGAAATAAAAGGAGCCAAAACAGGAACAACATTTTGGTGTTCCAGGTTTCCCAGAGAGAGGATTTCACGATCATCCGGAAAATCGGTTTCAGGAAGACAAGTCAGCACTTTCATGTTTCTGCGTAGGCGGCGCAGGGCCCTAAGAGACCCGGAACCTTCGGCCTTGAACCGTACACCGCAGCTGCGGAGCTCCCGAAACCGTTTCTTCCGATGGGTGCCCGACCACAATACCCCAAGGGTTGCGTGTATCGTCTTGAACAACAACATATTCATGATGGCACTGAGCGGATTGCAACACAAAAGCCCTGAACTCATTGGGAACCCCACGTTTTTTTACGAGCCACCTGACACCCCAGCCACAAAGCCGCGTGCCCCACTATCTTCAGGCCTCATATGCGGTTTCCCAAAATAAGGGACCCTAAGATAGTACCCTAAATAGTAGGATCCTTAGGAGGACCCCAACATAAGGTACCCCATATTTTCGGAAACTCCCATATCGACGGGCTTCAAGGCTGGGATGAAGCTACGTAGGGTAATCCCAAAAGAAAATAAAGGGATCCGTAATCCTACCTGCCTTCATCCCACTTTGTGAGGCCTCCAATCATCTCTTAAAGCCCTAATCCTACACCTTATCGATGCTGTCATGCGGATCAGAAAAGGACGGACAAAAACATCCAAAAACCTCAACCCTATATCCTCAAGATCCTACCTACGTTTCAACTTCTTAAACCCAATAGCATAGAGCCTTAGAGCGCTAATCCCGGAGCCCTGGGCCATACAGCTCCGGCGCAAGCGCGTCGAAACCCCACCCCTATGACGTTCTGAGAGAATCCCAGCAAATCCTGCATAACGTCCAAAAAGCCTCATGAAATCCTGTAAAACCCCTTTAACAGCCCATAAAAGACGGTATCAATCCTTGTACATGAAACGCTAAACTAGCGATAATGTCTTTTCACCTGAGTGCCCTGCAGGCTGCGGCGGTCGCGTTCGGGCTGCCCCTGGCCGCCGGCCTTGCCTCAAACGCCCTTCGCCGATCGCGAGAAAAACGTCGCTTCGGGTGTACTGTAGGGTTTGGGGTTTAGGGTTGGGGTTAATTATAAACAGACGGCTCTTCAGAATCGCGAGAAAAGTCGCCTCGGGTATGCACGAAAAACTGCTGGTCTAACAGGATTACTCACATTGATCTCCCGAAAAATGTATTGAACGATTCTAGGTGTTTTGAGGTTACTGGTTGGGTCTGGTTCAAGGGCTACAATGCTGATAAGCTTTGGGCTTAATGTTTATGTCGGGAATGTTGCGGTTTCTAGGTTTTTTGGTTTTACGGCGTCTAAGGTTTAGGGTGGGTTGTAGGGTTTTTTGCGTGGCAATCTAGGAACCCGTACATAGTAGTAACAATGGCTTCTACAGTCTTCAGAAGATGATATATACTTCAAGATAAGCCAATTCCCGATTCGAAACATAGAAGCCTCGATATCAGACACCTGAAACTCACGGCCTCCATGTACAATATACAGCCTATACTTTGACCCCAAGCATCCGAGTTCAGATTCCTTTAAGACCAAGGGACAGGCTGCATGGACCCTAGCCAACCTCCCTTGAGCTCACCCTCGCCTAGCTCTAGGTCCACGACCCTCTTCAGCCCTGTAGCTACAGACCCCGAAGCCCTGCACACTTTAAACCGAAAAGGCTGGACACATTCAAGCTCATCACAATCGTAGAGTACTCAACACAACACCCCAAAACCCAATAACACTAGTGTCTGTGTGCGACAATAGCAGCACGAATACTAACCATATCATTGATAAGACTTAAAGTATTCGCACTTGTAATGCATAGATATAAGCGAATAAAAAATATATATATATATATA